ATCTGATCTCGGATTAAGAATTACGATAGATGTTGTTTGAGGACAGATGTTTAATGGTAGGATCGGTGGAGTTTAGACTGATCCATTCTAAGAGAGTTAAAATTACAACCATTATTTAAGTTAAAAACAATATTTTACACTGAAAAACATAGTAACGTGCTCGGACTTCCTTTGCGCAACAGACATCTTAATTAAGACATCCTCAGTAGAATCAGTGTAATCGAAATAGCCCAGAGAGACAGTAAGCTGAAATAGCAATGAATCAGCTCAAAGAATCGACAACCGATTTGGAAGAAAGGTTATTGAATCTTCGAGAGTTCGAGGAGCCTTGTACCGGTAAGTTACTTGGTATGACATGCAGGAAGTATAGCTGCTAGGATTCCGTATTGTTACTTTCCGTGGAAGAGACTTATGTCAAGCAATGGACTGGTGAAGGGCTGTAATGATTAATGACATAGTTACATCAATGTATACGTTAATTGAATTTTAGGAAATAATTTTTAATAGGTAGATAATTTTTTTTAAATAGCATTTTAAAATGTTTACCTTGTGTTTACTTTAGATGCTATTGTAATTTTACGTTTACTAATTTCTTTTTTTTAATGTGTATTCAAGTAAAATATATAAAAATTTTAGGTATCACCAGTGCGATTTTATATTATACCCTTTCGTACGCGCTAGCGTGCATCAACTACCAATACTATTAACATACACAATTAAAAGTCCGTTGTATATAAAGTACAATTATCATAATCATCATCATTGTAATTCATTCAATTCAATGCCAAAAATGAAAATTCGTTGTGTATTAAGTATAATTATCATAACTTTTAGCCCGAAAACTCCATAAGACCACAGCTACACGTCTCGCACCTTAGGCCCTACTGTCCATTATTCTATGCTATTCCGGGTATTTTTCGCCCGGCGTAAAGAAATGGTTGTATTACCGGCGTCAGCAAAATCTTTTTGGCTTACCCAATGGTTGCCTCTTAAGACATTTTCGTGACGAATTGGGCTGGTGTAATCTATTAAATAGACGATTTTACTTTTGTATTATATCTAATAATAAACAAATAAAATTATGTTAAATGAACAGATAATATATAATTCAGGTTTATAACTAAGGATCCACTATACAAGGTTAGGTTAGGTTACAGCCTGTATACGTTCCACAGCTGGGCACAGACCTCCTCTAACTGCTGAGAGGGTTTTAGGGAAAAGAAGTGTGCGCGCTGCGCCAATGTGTGTTGGCGAATTTTACGTCTTCGAAATATATTTTTTTATTTCTCAGACATGCAGGTTTCCTCACGATGTTTTTCTTCACCACCGAGCACGTGGTAAATCAGCACTTAAAATTGCAATTAACAATTTCATTGGTGGCGGCGGGGATCGAACCCGGGCCGCTCGCGTACTGTAAAATTTGCAGCGAGCGCTAACCATCCGAGCTCCCACGGCTCTCACTAAACAAATTTTAGTGAAATAAAACATAGATTGTCATTAAAATAATATCGTCGGCGGAAGAAATGGTGAGCATTATCATATTCAAGTTAAATTACATCAAATTTTTATAATAGTACTTTATTTTTACGAATATCCAATCATGGTCGTACGCTCCATATAAATATACCGAGCCCTTTCCTCCCCTGTGAACTTTTCATATATAGCGCGTGCAAGACGTAGTTTTATATATATATTTTTTATAGGATAGGGTGACAAACGAGCACCGCTGATGGTAAGTGGTTGCTGTGGCCAATAGACATCTACATCTATCCTCAATTACGAATCAAAATGCAGATGCGTTGTCACCCGTGAGGACTAAGATGGAATGCCTCGTTTCCAGTAAAAAGGGTCTCCGGTTCTCTACACTCACCATACGAAACACAGCAGCATTAAGCTACTATTTCACGCTGGTATTCTGTGAGAGCGTGGTCCTTCCCCGGTCGAGCCGACCCATTCGTGCTACAACTATACATCTAATATAACTGCAGCATGGCTCTACCAAGTATTAAAATTGACACATATATTTTTGTCGATCAATTAAAAAACGGCGCGGCGATGAATTTTCGTGGTGGTTCGAATCCCGCACGGAACAAGTATTTCTATTGACTTAATGTATTTGTTCTAAAGCCGTGGTAAGAGCCGTGGTAGCTCAGATGGTTAACGCTTGCTGTAAATATAACATAACGCGTTAACCCGGGTTCGATCCCCGCTGGCACCAATGAAATTGTGAATTGCAATTTTAAGTGCTGATTTACCATGTGTTCGGCGGTGAAGGAAAACATCGTGAGGAAACCTGCGTGTCTGAGGAATAAGAAAAAAAATATTTCGGAGACTTTGTAGTTCGCCAACACGCATTAGGGCAGCGCGGCGGACACTTCTTTGCCCTAAAACCTTCCTCAGAAATGAGGGGAGGCCGGTGCCCAGCAATGGGACGTATATGGACTGTAACTTTAACTTTTTTTCAATTTTTCGAAATATGATATTTGTCTGCGTGCAATTTATGTATGTAAACTACAATTTATGTAGTACTTTACGGTACAAGAGATAAACCTAGTGTGACAGTAAATAAAAAAAATTAAATAATTACTGAATGTTAGCCAAAGCTTATCTCAATACATTACCGAAAACTACTGAAAAGCTGAAACCCAATCCAACAACCAGCCCAATTTGGATGTGGTTTTCAGTAATGTGTTCATCCGTCCTCCTAGATGCCAGAACCGTGGTATCGGATACCTGTTTTATTGCATATGGAAAAACGTTATAACTAAAGTATCCAGACGAATGTCTAGGCGAAACGTCTTCTTTGCGTGAAGTTTCAAATTTCTATTTCAAATCTGCCAGATAAAAATCAAAAGTAAATATGTATTAGCAAAAAATTTTTGTTCAGAAATTATTTAATGATAACTTTTTCGAACTTAAAATAAGAAATTTAAATATGTGTAAAGACAAAACAAGCATGTACGTGTATAAACCGTGGTCAAACTAAAGGTCTTTCACTCTCTGACCCATAAAACGTTTTAAGCATTAATTACAGACAGTGCCCTTTCAATTGAGTATTTGGATCCAGTTATATACCAGTATGACGCAATATTAATTCGGTATTAAATTATCTCCATAATAATAAGACAGATCTAGTTCAATCAGTTTAATACTAAAAACTTTTTTCAAAAACTTTTTGACTACCTCGTTGGTTTAGTTGTTGTGGTAGTGCGACTGCTGATCAGGGGGTCCCAGGTTCGAAACCCGGGTCGGGCGTATATAAAATCAGGTTATAGAGTTTTTCGTCAAGAAATTCTCAGTATTTGCCTGAGGACTGGAAATTGTCAGTATCTCACACCTCTGCCTCGGAAAGCACGTAAAGCCGTTAGTCCTGCGCCTGGAGTCTCTGCGGTCGTGTCAGTTTATCGTCCCATCGGACTATGAGAGTAAGGGAATAGAGAGTGCACCTGTGCTTGGGCATACACTTGGGCACTATAATCCTGTCCTGCGCCGATGGCTAGTCTCCGTTGAGGCTGGCCGGTTCGGTCTGGAGGATTATTATTGAGACATTATTATTGTGTTGTTTTAAAAGTAAATATAGTGTATTGAAAACTTTTCTGGCTTCAGTTGGTAGATGCAATAGATTTTTTTTATTTTCATTGGGCCGTTCATACAATAACAAAACATTTTTATATATTATACAAAGTTATTGCATTGATGCTATCGCCCTGCAGTATAATATTAAGGGATAATGGTAAAGTCTTATAGAATTTCACAAAGATCGCTTTTGTTAATAATCATATTTGAAATTCAAAGTTATATTTGTATTCAAAATTTGCTTTTATAAAGTACGTTTCAAATCCTGCCCTTGATGCGGATAGACTTTAGAGTGTTCTTAAAGTATACATTACATGTATATGTAATGTATACTTTAAGAAAGAAACTTTGTGCGCAGAACCGACAAGCAACCCACAAGTAAACTATTTTTCCCCCAACAGTTACAAAATAAAATAAAAATAAACTCTAAGAAAGCTCAATCCGACGCATTTTTATCGTTTAAATAGTCATCTAATTGTTGTAAATTATTATTTCCTTACAAAATGTTTATGCATGTGCTTAAAATTTCCGCAGACGGATCAGTAATATTACAGGGAATCTAGTTACTAATAGTTATATGTCTACCCAAAACGAATGCTAGTTTTATTATAACATAATCAAATTATATAAGTATATTTATTAGAAGAGCCCTATGTCGTGCAGCAACGCATGGCCAAGTACACGGGATAATTATTTGAATGCCATTTAAATATCCTATGTCGTCCCGTATCTCACGTGGGAATCAAATTTAAACCCGCAGTGCAACAACCAAACGGTTAACCACTGCGCTACTATGCCGTCAAATGCTTAATTTTTTTCTCATTTCATTTTATTCCAATCCTCGCTAACATTTAATTTGATAAAATTGATGAAGTGTCATTAACACCGTTAAGTTTACTGTCAGCCGCGTGGTGCCGGCGTAAGCGAATCCATCGTCTAATTTTGTCCCAAGGGTGATGTAATAGGCGACTATGGCTAGTGCCATAAAAGTATTATGGCTTCCGATAGATAGCAGTTATAACTATCTCGTTTACGAGACGTATACGGTCCACATCTAACAGTGAACTCCAAGAGAAAATAAAAAAAATAATTAACCTTTATAGTATGTGAAATTCAAGTGATTAATTTTTAATATATTTGATATCTTGACAATTTGCGACTACAGTACTCGTAGCCCTTATTATTAAAACATATATTCGTTAATCTAGTTCATTTATATGTTATGATTAAAAAGTACGACTACGCAATCCATGTATAGATGTAGGCAACGCCAAGTTGTCACTTATTATTTCTGGCATATAAACTGGGTGGGGCTCCGCCATGACATTGTTACAGTTGGACGTACAGGAGCAATATAAGATCGGATTAAGCGAATAGCAATAATAATCCTTCTACTGATGTATTAAACTGCATATTGCAATCGCATGGCAATCACGAAATTAAGTGCAAAGCATTGCACAAAATTACTTAAAGGATTTGATACTAGTTTGCCTGCGTTGTATAAAAGTGAACGTAAGTGCTCTAATAGTCACTCCACGATTAATACACACAGCCTAAACATGTATTCCAAGGTGCGGACTTTGTTGTGAGTGAATTAACGTGTAAAAATATGATCATATTTAAAGTGAAGTATTATTTTCAGGTAATAGTACTCCTGTGTGCCGTAGGCATCGCAACGGCTGGAAATCTTTATCATGAAGCTGCTCCCTGGTCTTACACAACATATGGTGCTGCACCAGCATTTACTTCTTACGCCGCTGCTCCAGTCATTGGAAAGACTTTTGCGCCATCAGTTTCATACCAATCAATTTCTACGCAGTCCGCTCCAGCCTACGCTACCTATTCAACCGCACCAGTAGTCGCTAAGACAATCGCCGCACCGGCTGTTGCAACTTATTCAGCTGCACCATCTGTATCGTACCAAACTATTTCCACTCAATCTGCACCACTCACTTACGCTGCTACTGCCCCGGTAGTTGCTAGAACTTACGCAGCTGCAGCTCCTATTGTTACTAAGTCTTACGCTGTGCCTTCTCACTCTAATTACGCAGGATATTCAGGCGGATCAGCAGTTTCCTATCAGAGTGTTACTAGACATTCATCACCATTGACATATGCAGCTGCTGCCCCTGTTATATCTAGTTCTTACGCGGCTGCTCCAGTTGTAGCTCATTCGTACACAGCACCCGCTATCTCTTCGTATGCGGCTCCGGCTATATCTACTTACCAAACTGCTCCTGTAGCTACTTACACTACTGCTCCTTTAGTTGCTAAAACTGTTTCCCCTGCAGTATCATATTCATCAGTCTCAACTCACTCTGCTCCCGTGGCAGTAGCTGCTAGAACAGTTGCGGCTCCTGCTTATACGTCCTATGCTGCTCCGGTAGTTTCTTATTCATCTGTTCCTTCTCATTCCGCTTCAGTAGCATATACGACGGGTCCCTTAGTAACTAAGACTATTTCTGCACCTGCAGTGGCCACATATACAAGCGCGCCTGTAGTTTCTAAAACAATTTCTCCAGCTGTTTCATATTCATCTGTATCTTCCCACTCCACACCAGTAGCTGCGTATTCTGCGGCTCCTGCCTATACTGCATATTCTACTGCTCCTGCCTATACTGCTTATTCTACTGCTCCTGCCTATACGTACTCTACGGGCCCCGTTTCATCTCACGTCTCCTACTCCGATCTTAGTGGTCATTACGGATGGTAGACAACCAAAGTCTTTGTTGAAATGTTTTATGTACAAAAGAGATTGTTTATGTTAATATACTATTTTATTAATAAGATAAAAAAATAAAATTGTCTTGTCCAAAATATAATTGATTTTTATTTATTTCTCAATTAATTTTGCATTTAAAACGTTATTTTCAATGGGAATATTTCCTTTGTTCTAAATGACAAAATATAATTATAAGAGTCTTATGACATTTACAACAGATTTTTAAAACTTTGAAATTTTGATAATTTGGTCTCTTGTAAATAAAAAGTGTGATGAAATATATTTATGCTATGGATATAGACTTTTTTATGATAGCTAATCAAAATATCAAGTAAGAGTAAGAATATTTTAGCGATTTTTAAATTATACTGTTCATCATTTGCCTTATGTTACGAGTTTATTAAGACCTGATTTCTAAATCATAAGACGAATGAATACAAAAGTAAAACAATTGAACTATTTTACTCATACAACTGCAATTTTTAATTCGTTTATTTTTCGTTTACCTATGTATATTTTGACAGTGTAGTAACGGTGTAAAAATATCAGATAACCTATACCGCACTATAGGTGTCGTAAGAGGCGACAGAGGGAAATAAACCAGAAGATGGGCAGCAGTATCTTAGCGTTAAGGTCAAGTTAAAAAAATATTGCCACCTGCCCAGGAAGACAACTATGGCAAATATCCCCTATGGGACATCCATGGTGGAGGCCTATATACAGTGGTGCACTTTTGACAGGGTGTGACAATAGAATTAGCATTTCAAAACATTTTACTCTGGGTGTCTGTCTCATAATATGTATATTATGTTAGTAACATAATAAGTTACAGCCTATATACGTCCCACTGCTGGGCACATGCCTCCCCTCATTTTTAAGAGGGTCTTAGGGCAAGGAAGTGTCCGCCGCGCAATGCGTGTTGGCGAACTTCGCATGTCTTCGAAATATTTTTTTTTCTTATTCCTCAGACATGCAGGTTTTCTCACGATGTTTTCCTACACCGCCGAGCACGTGGTAACGCTCGCTGCAAATATAACAGAACGCGAGTAACCCGGGTTCGATGCCCGCCGGCACCAATGCAATTGTATTTTATACCCATGTATATTTACATTTTGTATGAGTGTGTGTATGTACAAGATATGTGTGTATTTGTATTTTTTTATTTTACTTAATCTCATATTTTTTATATAGTATGTGACAAACGAGTATATAGTCCACCTGATGGTAAGTGGATGCTGTGGCCCATAGACATCTACATTTATCTTCGATTAAGAATCAAACGCCTATGCGTTGTCATCCCTGAGGAATAAGATGGAATGCCTCGTTTCCAGAAAAAAAGGGTCTCCGGATCTTAAACACAGCAGCATTAAGTTACTATTTGACGCTGGTATTCTGTGAGAGCATGGTCTTTCCCCGGTCGAGCCGAACCATTCGTGCTACAACCATAACATAGCTGCAGCGTAGCTCTGCCACGCATTTATATATTGTAATATATATATTTATTGTGTCGCGATTATTTCAATTTCAAATTCAACTAATAAAGACAAATTCAAATTCTCACTACACTGAAAAAAATATCTCTACACTAGAAAAAATTCTGTCCTGTTCTTGTTACTATAAGGATCATTCAAAAAAAGTTGTAACACATGAACATAATTATCAGAAGTTAGAAAATCTACCGCCATGAATTGTTACGTACTGAGTTTGCTTTTCTTTATCTACTCACTTCGGCTATGAGTAGTCCATAGTTATTTATGCATTACTGATGCTGTGAAGATTAAAAGTTCTTTTACAAGAACTTCCAGTAAACTTTCTCATGAAAAATTTAACAATGAAAACTGAAATAAAATATTGTATTCATGAAAAACACTGCCCATATTATACAAGTATCTATTGGTAGTTGAAAATAAACGTATAAACAAAACTACTACTTACTACTAAGAAAAGATTAGCCCTTCGAAATCTTTAATCCCGTAGCTAAAGTTTGTTAATAGGGGTCATTATACGTCATTATACGAGTTAAATACGTCGAGTAAATCTAGCTACCAAAATACAGAGCTACATTTAAGGATTATGTATTTGATGAAATTTATATTAGTTTTATATATTATGTACAGTTATAATTAATTTTTCATCATTTACTTAAAGTAAAGATGAAAAAGAAAGAAAGAAAGAAACTTTATTTGCCGCTTTAAAACTAAATAAGGATAGACATTCGGGTGATTGATATTTAGTATGCCAGGGCCAGCTCTCGCTGTTACGAACTGTCAATAAATTAATTTACACTACGGATTGTAATACTATTATTTTATTTATTGACTGCCTTGTTGGTCTAGTGATACTAACGCGATTGCTTATCATAAGGTCCCGGGTTCAAATCCCAGGCCAAAAAATTTGTAAATGAGTTTTTCTCTAAAGGTATTATCAGTAGCAAGCCGGAGTCAGGAAGTTGCAAGAATTTCACTCCTGTGCCTCAAAAAGCGCTTAAAGCTGTCCTGTGTCGCTGATTTCTCTCTGTTGGCTTACCGTTCCTTTGGACTATGAGAGTGAGAGGATAAAGAGTGGAGCTGTGCTTGCGCATACACTCAGGCACTATATTCCTGTCCTGTGCAGATTGCTAAGTTCCCGTTGACACTGGACGCCGTGACCGAAATTCGGTCTGGAGGGCATTATAATTGGAACAGAGTGTAGCCGTGTAACCTTCTCTGAAAGTAGTTGTCCAATTTCGATGAGACTAAGTAAGGATAATCTATATCTTTCTGTAAACGATACCTTTTAAATTTTTTTTAATTAAAGGTATTTATAAGTATTATAAAATATAAATAAAAGTATCCTCAGAGTAATGTAGTTGTGTTGTTAAAGTACCTTAAAATAATGGAAAATTAAATATAATTAATAACTTCATCCCACTTTTATCCGCAAAACTGACATACCCAGTATCTATTCGTGATAGTTTTGTTTAGTAGATAGTTTAGAGGCCGAGAATAAATTTCTTACTACGCGGTTACACGAGTTCGATTCCCACCGCACCAAAACCAATAAAATTGTTCATAGTAATTTTAAACGATGATTTACCACTTGACCCTCTGCTTTCTTTTCACACAAAATTGCAATTTTACAAAAAAATATTCGAACGTCATCCAAATTCTCTGCTACTGGGCTGCTGAACCGTCAAGATTCATACCTATTTGTGCCATTTACTCACTCGCCTGTGCTAACGCCTGGTAAAAATCAAATTACTTTTCAGTGAGAAGGCGAATTCCACAAAAGGTCATTACTTTCATCTTCAGAGTGCAAAATCATACAATCGCGTCTCTTGCAATCTTCATTAAAAATTTGTCAAGCTTTAAAACTAAACGATTATTTAATAGGCAAGAGCTCTCCGGGTAATATTATTTAAAAAATCGTGACCCGATAATTTATTAGCACTTATCTTACATGAAAGTCTGAAAAACCAAAATCGCTGACGCGACACCGCTAACTACAAACCACCGATGAGGTACACCTACCGCTATAGTCTGGTCCTACGGTTATGAGCAAGTTTTAAATAACGAGTTTAGATAACCTGGTGGCAATGAGTCATTATGGGAATTAAGAAAAAGATTATACTGCTGTGTTTCGTATGGTGAATGTAGAGAACCGGAGACCCTTTTTTACTGGAAACAAAGCATTTCATCTTAGTCCTCAGGGGCGACAACGCATCTGACAACGGATAAATGTAGATGGCTATGGGCCACAGCATCCACTTACCATCAGGTAGACTGAGTGCTCGTTTGTCACCCTAATTCTATGAAAAAATATTTATCACGACCTATGTTTGGAAATTTTATCATTATTCATATTTTTTAAAATTGTAATAATGCTAATTTAAATTTGTTTGAGTTGTTATTTCAACGTGTAGCGGCGGTGTAAGAATATCCATTACCCTATATCGTCTCGTAGGTGTCGTAATAGGCGACAGAGGGGAAACAAATCGGGGGGGCAGCAGCGTATTCTTAATAAACGTTAGAAAATAAAAAAAACCGCGGTTGATAACTCACTCGCCAAACGTGACAGCTATGGTTTTTTAGCCATTAGGCCTTTGTAATTAGAGCTATGGACGTTGAGAGCCTTATTGAGTCGCTGGCCCTGGATACAAAAAAAATATAATCTGTTGGTTTTCTGGCCTAAATAACCACATACGGTACTGCTTCCGAACTAACATCCGATATAGTAGCATAACAACGCAAGAACCTCCGCAAGTATTCTCTTTTATTTTTGTATCGAAGTAGAACGAGCATATGGTTTACTTAAAAACTACTGCCGCCGAAGATCAACCACATTCCGCAATTTAAGATGAGTTGAAGTTGCGTTCCCAGCCATTGTAAAAGGGTTCTGTTCTAAACGGTTGATGACTCATCGGTGACTGAAATGGGTTCCAATGGGAAATAATGAATGAAATATAATCGTTGAAATATCACTATGTACTTACTGTTTTGTTATAATAGACGTAAATTGGGGATCTTCCCAGGGTTTGGCTTCAAACGTTTTAGTAACGTTTTAACCCTTTTTGACTAACTATACATTTTTACTTCATTACCGAATAATATGATAACATCATCCAGTACTTGGCAAAATTAACGTGTTTTTGTTTTTCAATGTTATATAATTATCAGCTTTTTACTAAACCATTGATATCACATTTATGATAATTTTATAAACTTATATTTATTAGTATGTCGAGAGATATCATTTTTATTTCCTTAAAATTATCTCCAAGGGACACTCCCAGAGCTTAGAGTAATAAATGGCTCTTACGATTATGACCCTCCTTTGAGTAAGAAAATTGTTCTAACGTCAGTCCTATGTATTTTTATCCGTAATAAATTGTCGTATAAGGCTATGAAAATTACTATGAAAATTAATAAATAAACCTTGGAGTAATAACATGCTTAAGAAAATAAACGCAAACTCATCGCAACCTTTGCGGGAGGTCTTTAATTGGCTGCAAT